TATATATATATATATATATATATATATAGATTTAAATTTCTATATCTTATTAATAAAGGGTGAAATCATGACAATCAAGGACAAGCAAAGACAATTTTAAAAAAAGAAAACATACAGGGCAAATAAAATACAGTCCCAGCGTTTTATAGTACTTTTTTAAAGGAAAAGATGAAATCTAACCACCTTTTTAAGAAAGATAAAATATAGTCATTTTGGTAGGCAAAAGTACCATTGTACCCTTATTAATGTTTTACCAAACATATTAAAAAAAAAAAAGAAAAAAGAGTCCATTGTATAGTGAAGCACGCCGACTGCATCTCTCTCTCTCCTCCATTGTTGATGTTCTGCCGCTCTTGTAAAAAAAAAAATCTCGTCTTCTCAAAAATCACTTAAAAATGATCTCTTTCAAATATCATCTTCAACATGACCAAGAAAATCCCTTTTGAGAAGAAATGAGGTACATGAACATCAACCTAATTTTGTTTTTTTTTTTTATTATGTTAAATAATTTTTTTTAACACATTCATTAATTTTGTTTTCAAAATTATTGATTTGTCTAGTAACATTTTATTTTGTTGAACTCATATTTTTTTGGAGTTAAATAATAGGGTTTTTGTGCTTTAAAAAAAGGGGTTGTGTTTTGGAGTTCATGACTTTTGTTGGAGTTTAGGAGATGAATTAATGGTTTGTTGAAGAATAAACAATTTCTTGAACAAAAAATAATTTCTTGAACAACACCGCAGTTTCTGTCTAAAAATCTCGCGGCTTCGGGATATGTCGCGGCCGCGGCTAACAAAAACTAGATTCTTGTGAAGAAACAGGTTTCTTGCTCAAGAAACCTGTTTCGTGAGCAAGAAATTGATTTCTTGAACAAGAAACCTATTTTCTACTCAAGAAACCCGTTTCTTGCTCAAGAAACTGGTTTCTTGGACAATAAACCTGTTTTCTGCTCAAGAAACAACATGGCGCAAACTTTACGAGCCCATAATCAAACCTGTCTTCAGCCACGGTTGAACTTCGAGCTGCGGTTGAGGTGCTCTCTCGGCCAACCACGGTTTGGAAGTCAACCGGCTGTGAATGATATTTTGAACTTTCAACCTAGCAAGGACAATCTTGAGCCGCGGCTGAACTTTGGGCCGCAGTTGAGGTGCTCTCGCGGCCAACCGCGGTTGGAAAGTCAACCGGCTGTGAATGATATTTTGACTTAATTAAAACGACAATATAGGTATTTGAATGCTCTTCCTCCGGGTATGGTTTGGTCGGAATTTCCAGATTGGATGGCTCGGTCGGCGTGGACGGCTCGTCTCCTCGTGCGCGATGAAGTGGACCTAATCACACCAAAAACAAAGAGAAAACGCGCAAAAATACGAACAAGCTATACAAGAGCAAGAATATACAAAACACGACAAAATGGACCGGTCGAGCCTAAAAACGGACCTAAGAACCACAAAACAAAACACATAAAATACAAGAAAATAAGGAAAAAAACACAACAAACACCCGTAATACATCCAAATCCCACGCATGGTTTGGTTGGGTTTGAAGCTCGTCCACGTCACTTCAGCAAACATGATTTGACGGGTCCCGCTAACAACCGAATACAAAATGAACAACTCGGTTGGGGCCACTTCATAATCGGACTCTGACGAAGTTCGGTGAACCCTATTTATTTTATGCACGGCACGGAATATGTTATGTTCTGCAAATTCTTAATAAGTTTGCATACCGACTTGCACTATTAGCCGAATTCGTTAAAAAGATCAAAGTGGAACTCGGAATTCATTTTTATAAAGAGCCCACAACCCGGTTAAAAATATGAATAAATCCGAGTTGGAAGGCCAATCTTATACTTGTACCGAGTTCATTACACTTGGTCTAAAAATGACTGACTTTTGCACAGCAAAATAAACAGAATTGAAATCATGCAAACATTCTTAATTTATATTATAAAGTCAGAAAATTCCAAAATTACATATTTTCTACTAAGGATGTCAACATTCTGACACCCCGACTACTTACTT